ACAAAACATTCATTTACCTATTTTAAATTTTTGATCAAACAACAATATTTAGTATTTCATTTCATTAAATTAGAACTATTTTAGGAATTATACTTATTTCTTATTATTCATCATTATCAATAGGTCATGAACTCGTGAGAGTGCACTGGTGGACTATAGGCATCCTTTGCGTAAGAGGTTTTCCCATAATTTCCAAGCTTGGCTTGGTCTCACAAAAAGTGCTGCTGTCATGGGTGTCCCGGTCGCTGACTAATGTGTAGTCTCTCAGTCCGCTCTATTTTATATATATATATAGATATTTGATGGGCCGACGTTTGACCGCTGCCTCGCCTGGTGATAAGCGATGATGCGGTCTACGATGGAGCACGTCGTCCCATAAGCTTAAAGATTTTTTTTCTAATCTTTATTTTATAAGTAGGTAGGTCTTTTTTCTAAGAGAAAAACGTCAGTCCTAACATAGAAAAAATTCACAGTACAACTAAAATAAAGAAGCTAAATTCACAGGTTTAACTTGATAAAGAATATTGAAGTGAAGTCTAAACTATAACCGAATGAGTATCGTAAACCAAAAGTCTAATGCTTCTTGACAAATTATAAATGACTTCGCAATCATTGAGACACTTTCAAATTAGCAGTAGAAATGTAAATCATATTTTACTTTTATATATATTTTATGTGAGTAACGTAATACTTTTTATGTCCGATAATAAAGTAACAAGTAAATTACACTAATTCTATTACACTTCGAAAATGTGAAAGAAGTAAATGATTCATTGCTAATTTCTTTATTTACTTGCGTGTTCGTTAAAATTCGTGAAATTAATTGCTTCGAACAATTACCTAACAATGAAGCAGTGATTTTAGTAGTGTTAACAATAATATCAAATAGACTTAGCTCACGAGGTTGTTGACATGTGGAATGTGGATTCGGCTATCATTGTGCCGCTAGTCGTGTCGGCCAATGGGTTAATCCCTAAAAGCCTCGACATCCATCTCAGGAGGCTGGCGGTAGGTGGATGGATCAAGGGCCTGACACAGAAGGCAGTTCTCCTAGAACCGGCACGTATCGTGAGGAGGTTTCTGTCTCTGGAACCCTTACCACCGGTAGCTTGGACCATGCTGTCGCTACTGGTACCTACTTCTACACACACTTCATTTTGGTAATAACTGTCTAAAGACAGCCGAACTGGATAATTGTATTGAGTATTTGGGTATTCTGTTTTTATTTTGAAAAATGCGAGTTGTCACCATTGGTTGACAGTTGACATAATTCTTTTACTTCAAGAATTTTTCAACATTAAATCTTATTTTTATTGTGAGAAGATATAATATAATGGTGACACCATTTTGTTCTATAACTAGTTACATAATAACCAAAAACTTGAAAGTGCTAATGTCCCTTGCATCAGATGCTGCAAATACCCAAAGTTCTAGAACTAAAGTTTTGCCTATTTTGCATTATAGCTTCAACGACAAAGTTGCACACTTGGACTAAAATACAACTAAAATATATATTGACATTTTTGAAGTTACTGAATTCAATATGACAATACATAGTTTCAGCCTAAGTTTACTTTACGAGTGAAAGTAATAACCGATGGTAATCTCGACCAAATTATAACCGACTTACCGATAAAGTCAAGAAGATGATGTTTATTACACATAGCCGTGCTTGCCTGTTTTTTTTATTTATTTACTAGCTGATCGTACCGCCTAAATTTTTTCTCACCTTTTAAACCTCCACGAACATTAATTTCAAGAGCAAAATTAGTCAAATCGGTTCAGCCATCCTAGAGGTTTAGATACAGATATATTTTAGAGATATAAAAAAAATATCTATTAAATTATTAAAATCGATATAGTATAGTGAGTAACATTTTCTTATTCTTATTGTTTGTTTTATATTTTACTACCTAGTTTACAATATTTGTCATTTAAGGACTTTACTGTTTTGTTTTTTTTTTCTTTTTATTATTATTCGAAATATGTAACGCCTAGGTTTTATGACTGTAATGTTATACTATTTTAATTGAAACAAATAAATAATATAAGTTTTTAATTCAATATTATAGCATACAAATACTTACTCTTATAGTTATAGTAAAGACGTTTATTTGTAATAGATATATAGCAGAAATGTTACATTAAATACCGTGAGAATTGCCAAGTGCTCTACTAGAAGATTTATTGCAACATTTTTTGTTCCGCAAACGGTCGACTGTTACGAGTTAAGTGTTCTCTATACATAATACGATATAATGCCGTATAGTGATAGCAGAGGAGACTCCAACCCCTTACTCTTCTAAAGAGTCCCTTAGTCGGCTATGGGACTATTTAATTAGACAATGCCGTGTACTGCACTCTCATGGACATCAATCTTTAAAAGTATGATCCCTGACCCTATTATTTCGTTTTTAACGTTGCCCTATACTAGCGTTTTCTCCAGTTCCGTGGGTGCGTTTACAAACATACAAGTTCACATACACATGACACCGACCCGAAACAACAATTTGTGGATCACACAAGGAGTTGTTCCGTGCGGGAATCGTACTTGCGACAACAGTTACGGGATTCGCAAGCTGTTGACCTTGAGAATTGTTCATAGGTTGAAGACATAGACTAATTTAAAATAATTCTAGCAAGATTTACAACTTAAAACAAACAAAAGGCGACGTCCTAACCTAAGAAAATCAACACGAAAACTTAACGATCACGAAAAGATTTGAACTTGTATCATTAAAGGCTACATTAAAATTTAACAATATAGTGAGTAGGTCGAGCAAGTTGAAACATGACCCGAGGGCTGAAACTTTCCAACGAGATCTAACTTTAATAGAGTCCATAAAATTTATGACACTCAAGTTATAACTGCGGCCTTGCAGTAACCATTGTTAAACTACCACACTGAGTTATTAGATTATCTCAACCATCTATAAGCAGGTAGTATGCATAAATATACAATTGATTTAAGACTAAGTACAAGATTGCATTTACAATTAGGGTTGCCAAATCTTCTTGACGAAAAAAGCGTGTATAAATTTAAATTTATTTGTATAGGAAATATGAAGAATTTACAAGAAAAAAAAGGATGATTCATTTTTAAGCATTAATTTTTACTTTAGAGTACCTAGTTTCTTTGATTACATATACAAAAGCATCGGACAATTTTCACACAATTTCGTCGATAGACATACCATAACATAACAACACGCCTTTATCCCCGAAGGGGTATGCAGAAGTGCACATTACGGCGCTTACTGCCATTGTACAATGTAACACTCACTTTTCACTATTTATGTTATGAGTCCCATGTAATAGTTGGTGAGCCTATTGCCATATACCGGGCACAATTCCAGACTCCTTGCTACCACTGAGATTTTTTTTAAAAACCCAATAGTACTTTGCCCTACCCGGGAATCTAACCCGAGACTCCTTGCCCGGCAGTCACACTTGCGACCACTCGGTCAACGAGGCAAGTCGATAGACATCAGTGATAAATATTGACTGAATGGTCACTAACATTTTGTTCAGCAATTGTAAGTCGTTACCATAATATTTATTAACTCATAAACACCGTTAAATAGTTTGTACCGTCTTATTCTGTGCATTGCAATAAAGGCTAGAAATAAAGTATTTTCAAATACTTCATTTGCATGTACACACGGCTACACATCGAGCTTTACATAACCAGTATAAACTGAACGTTAAATGTGCGGAAAGATGATGCGACGCGACACCAGGATAAACTGGTTTTGTATAGATTGATGTGTGGCCGTGGTATATCAAAAACTAGCTACTTCCGCGCAGTTTCACTCGCTCTGCTCGGCGCTTATTACTCGTAACGTGATATTTTATAGCCTATAGCCTTCCTCGATAAATGTTTTATCCAAAACAGAAAGATATTTTCAAATCGGACCAGTAGTTTCGGAGATTAGCGCGTTCAAACAAACACACAAAAAAACTCTTCAGCGCTATAATATTAGTATAGATAAAGTATAATGCGTCACTATAAAGTATAGTTGACAACCCTAGTTACAATAGACCTAACAAGATTTTAACAGCTACTAACTAATAAGCACATTTACTGAAAATAAATACTATGTTCGTAAGTACTTGATTTATTAGAATTATTATTATTAAATTCATTTATTACATGCCATAAGATAATTATTGAAAAGTGAGTGTTACATTGTACAGTGGCATTAAGTGCCGTAATGTGCACCTCTGCCTTTCCCTTCGGTGATGTTATGTTGTATTGATTTATTAGCACATATTTAACCAATTCGAAAGTACCTAGAGGTATATAGAAAAAGCATAATATTGTACAAAACACCAAATTTCGTATAATTTATAGGAAATAATTCTCTCTATTGCCTGAATATGGTTAAACTGTCAAAGCCGCGAGGACACCGGTGACCGCAACCTATTGTTCTTTAATTGTGTCTATAATGACGGTACTCAAACGGTTAAATATAGTTATGTACTATTTTAATTTTTGTTTTTTAATTATCTTTTTTATAATTATTTATTATTACAATTCAATAAAGTTTTACGCTATTTTTTGCACCATTAAACCAAAGCTGGTTTGTATTGGTACTCACATTCACTTAATAAGTTATTTAGATATAAACCTATTGATTATCTACCTACAAATGACAATATAGTATTTTGAATAAGTGAGGTACTGCGAGAGTAAAATCGAACAGTAATATTTAACAGGTAGTGGCATTTAAAATGTGCAATGCACACTCATGGTTAGCGTAATTTATCTCTACTAAAATTCTAATACGTCGATTTAACTCGTCGAGTACCGTCATTATAGACACAGTTATAGAACAATAGGTTGCGGTCACCGGTGACCGCTTGGTGTTTGACAGTTTAAGCATAAGAATAATTAATTTTGTTAGCCTCCAGAGTATTTATTTAAATCAAACAAGTATTAATTCCGTCTAAAGAAGAAAAAACACTTAAGAGTATAGATAATCTGTGGAGAAACTTACCTTTATTTAAACACAAATTTTCACGTACCTAATGACTTAGTTTTACAACTATAATAAATAGTTCACACACATTTAAAACTAGTTAATAAACTTTGTTCACACACTACTATTTAAAAAACTTTGTTCTACACCCACTTTATATATTATAATACTTTTTCACTAATACTTTTGTCTTTCACTTTGAAAACCGCGAAAAGTTTTCAAGTGCGTTCATTAGAAACGAATTTCCATTGCGTCTGACTAATCATAAATTTAACAATAGTTTACAATTGCCGCCCAACGAACGGGCACAGTTTAAATGGGTCCATATTTGTAAACATAAGCAGCCGGCGTGTTTATGAAATAGACGCACGCCATTGTACACAGCAAAACATTCGATTTAGAGAGTAGCGCGGTCGACGAATGACGGTAAGCGACTGCCGTGCGCGTTACGTCTGCCGGTCGAGTAAACAAGCAAGTACACTTGCTTCAAGTTATGGTGAAGAACTTATACAATACTTAAACAGTACTTAATGTTTATGTAATAATCATTACTGTTACCATGTATGTAGTAAATAGAGCCTATAATTGTAATAAATTGGATTCACTTGCTATACAATTGATAACGTTTACACAAGGAATTTTTAGTATAAAACCTTTTTGTTGACATTGACATGAGACTGATTATAGAAAACAATAGTGTGTATCAAAATAAACATTATAATCACCTATGTTACTGTTTTTTAACAGGTAAAATATACGTTCAGTGTATTTTTCCTGCTTGTATCATTAAAAACATCTATTTTCAACAATATTAGAAACGACTATTCGTATTTAATGAATAGAATAACTATGCATTCAATTTATTTTCCTCTTGTGAAAAAACTACCGAACTAAGTGTCCAATCCCTAGTCTCCTGAACCCTGAATCCTCCACAATCCTCAAATTCCCAATTCCCAAAAGGGCGGTTAAGACACTTGTAACGCCTTGGTGTTCCAGGTGTCCATGGGCGGCGCTGTTTGCTTACCATCAGGTGATCTGTCAGCTCGTTTACCGGCTTATGCTATGTATATAAAAATATATATATATACCTACCGATGACGTTATTCTGCACAAAGATTTATATAGGTACCTATAATAATAGTTTTCTAAACAAATCTGATAATGTAACATAACTTTTTATTACGTTTCTGCTTTTTTATATCGTAATTGCAAAACAAAACAGAAACTATCGAATGGCCCAAAATATCGAATGGAAAATATCGAATGGTATTTCAGTACCTACTATAAAAATATTCATTTACATAATTATTATTATTATTATTATTTTCAGTCTATTTGAATGTGAACTAATCAACAATGGACATTGACAATGGATTTAAAATAATGATACTAACAAGTAGAATATACTAACAGCTAATGCTCAGATGATGACACATTTCAACAAACTATAATAGATAATATATAGTTCTCTAAACAAAGCGAGGATAAAACACACATAAACAACAAAGTTACTTAAATAATATCCCACTATTTTATAGTCCATTATAAAAGTAATCAGTCAGTGAAAAAGTAGGAATGAATTTAAAAACTGTGTTTGCATTCTTCAAGTGATAAGGCAAGTTACTGTCCCGTAAACTGAATGTAAACGGAGCATGAATTCTGTAGAATATTCATGGTATGCTAACGAATGTAGAACAGTTACCTTACACGCCATGAAGTGTCATCTAACGTCATCTTAAAAACAACCTTTTTGGTCGTAGAACTTACACGCACACATTTTTTCATATAGGTACCTATACCTAGGTGCCGTACGCAACTTGAATGGGCCCGTTCGACCCGGAAATTTTTACCAGTTGTATTATAACATAGGTATTAACATAAACGAGTTAAGCCAAATTTATTTTACTAATATATGATAAATGCAAACGTTTGTTGATAAGTTTGTGAGTGACTATGCGTAAGTATGTTTCTTAATCAAGTTCAAACGGCTAAAGGTATTTTTTTTAGGGGCGGAAAATCATCGAATGGCTTCTCCCGCCTCGGTGAGGTGGGACGGAGTGTCAGACCCTTACTGACTAAAAACCACCCCGATCCTAGTTCGGCGCTTCGAGCCGGAGTCACGGTAACCCGTTAGGTTCTCTACGACTCCGAATCGGCATCAGCCCTATTGGCCCCATCCGTGGTGGTCTGATTGCTCTTTGAGGCGCGCGCGGAACGAGACGCGCCCCACGCTCGGACGGTTAAACGTATTGGGATGAAATTTGAAACAGAGGTACGTTATGATCTATAGAAACACCTAGGCTATTTTAAAAGCACGGGAACGCGAGCAAAGCTGCTTACGGAAGCTAGTTTAAGATAAATAACAACTTTAGTGGAACAAGGAATATATTTTTTTTTTATAAAGTAAAAAAATAATAATATGTAAGTACTGATTCCTCACACGACAGCTAGACGGGTTTTGTATTGGTATTTCCCATGGGAGGGGATTTCGTGACGATTATGGTCAACGCACGTCATAACATGAATCTTGATATACGAAAATAGTTCTTAAAACTATGATTGTAAGAATTATATTAAGATACATTACATTACTGAAACATATTAGTAGCTTTTTAGTAAATGACGAATGAAAAAATTAAGGAATACGTCGAAAAACCGATATGATAAGTGTACGTATACCATGTACCTACGATTGTATGTGTGGGACGCTACAAAACTATTTGTGATGAAATAGGGTAGGTGCCTAATTTTTATTTTAGTGTCCGTCTGCTAGATTATTTCAAATCATTAAACACGTATTTTTTATTTTCTTACAGAAACTAATACTTTCGACGATATATTGATTTGAAATGTCGTGTGACGTCACTTCTATGTACATTTTATACGTAGAAATGACGTTTTAGATCCCACTCCTAAACTTTGATTCGTTTTATCTAAGTATTAAAAACGTGTCTAATATTTTTTCATTACCTCGCGTATGCGTACGGCGCATCGCGCGCCTCAAGGAGCCATCAGACCACCACAGATGGGGCCCAGCAGGGTAGTTGCCGATACGGAGCTGCGGAAGTCTCAACGGGTTGCCGGGGCTCCGGCTCGAAGTGCAGGAGTAGGAACGGGGTGGTTTTTAGTCAATAAGTATCTGCAACTCCATCTCGCCTCACTCAAGGCGGGAAAAGTCATTGGATGATTTTCCCCCTCAAAAAAATTTACTGACACTCCCTCTCACCTCACTCGGGCGGGAAAAGACAATGGATGATTTTCCACCCAGAAAAAAAAAGGAGAGATAAGGATAACAAGCAGACACAGTCTTTTTGAGACTTCCTTATAACAGGCATTGTACGTACAATAGGCTACGGAACTAGTCTAGACTCTAGAAATACCGGCGCCTTTTCTAACTATCGATGGTAACCACAAGGGTATTTTTATTTTTTAATATGATAGGAATACCTCACTCCTTATTTCTATTCACTTTCCAAAAGCCTCTAGCTTTTAAAGGTTTGAAGCCTACTGTAAAATTTCAGGGTTCGACCTACACAATCGTGCTCATGACCACATAACCAATAAGGCAGTCAATCACATTTTTAATTTAAATGAAAATACCTATTTCATTTATTCAACAATAGAAAATAATGTTCAGTTTGATGTTTTTTTAACTATAAAGCAAGAATCTCATTAATACTTAGTACTTATGTTAAATCAGGCTACATTGTTTACCCGCATTATCTTATCACAATGAACGTTATTTTCCTAGCTTTTGTTTTACTTTGGTACTCGTGGATTTTCTGAAAATTAATCCAGGGCTTGTACCAACTTTCTTAGAAACTATGTGTAAGGATCAACTCGTTATTTTGAGTCAAAATATGATTTTTTTTTTGTATAAGGGCTTAAGTTCTGCTGAAACCTGTAATATATGTTCAGGCAAGTAAATTAGCCATATCATGAGATTCAAAACTTAGAGTCTTAGGATAAATCGATCACCTCACTTTCTTACTGTTTTTCCAGTAGATTTTAACTTACAGAAGTTCTTGTGAATACGAAATACATCATGGTCTTCTACTAAGAAAAACAATCGACGTGAAATAAAAGGCTTGCTGGGAACATGAAAATAAGTCCCTTTTCAGAAATTATTACAATAATTACTTACATTATATTCAATCGCCGCCACTGCGTCCAACTTTACTAAAAAAACAATTTTTAATAACTTTTGAAAATTGTTTACATCAAAGCTATTCCCGGTAAAAGTAATGGACTCCTCCAGATAAATTGTGTAAACAATTTAGCTGGAAGCTGTTAACTTGCTTCATCTGTACAATTTCCTTATCTCCTTAGAGATTTCATCACAGCTGTGGCCAACAATTTTAGGAAAAAAATACGACCAAGAGCGAGTCGAAGTTACGTTCCGTATGCTTATCTAGCGATAAAATAACTGTTTTTGCTAAATAATTAATGTCAACATAATTTTATTAAGTTGGTGCACCTTTTATGCTGTCGCGGAGAACCTAACGGGTAACCAGGGCTCCAGCTCGACGTGCAGGAGAAGGAACGGGGTGGTTTTTAGTCAGTCTGACACTCCCTCCCGCCTCTCCCAGGCGGGAGCAGTCATTCGATAATTTTCCCTCCTTAAAAAAAACATCTTTTGTTCTAGTGACATTTTTTTACATGTACGACAAAATAATGCTCATTAGTTTGTAGCTCTTTATTATTAACTAGTAGTACAGACGACAGTATGTGACAGCTTTATTATTGTTTGTCTATAGTATAATTTTTAGTCTATGCTTGTCTATGAAAAATAAATATGTCAGTCGTTACTATGAATTCAAAAACTGCGTTTTATTGTCTTACATCTTGTAACAACGTTACAAGATGTACGATATATGTATAGATGGTATATTTTTGACAAATATAAAATCAAAGTCTATATCATTTATTTCAATTATACCAGGAAGGCGCTTTTGAACGTCAACATAACATTAAAAAGTAAAGGTATTTGCTCATTCCAAGGTGTAGATTCCTAATTCAAATTCAAATGTTCAATTGAAACAGTGGTTTCGTTTTAAACTCCAACCTGCTACTGGACCAGTCATGTAATCAAAATTGGCTATAAATAAACATGCCATTACACCTCTTTGACGTTTTAGTCCCCACTCCTACACTTTAATTCGTTTTATCTAAGTATTGTTTTATTATACGACAAAATAAAAACTACGTGTCTAATATTTTTTCATTACCTAACTTACGGACTAATTATATTTTTAATTTTCATACCCTGTCATCATCCCAATTCCAGATATAAGCAAAAATACTCATCTATATTGTTCAGAGACACTCGATAGGCAATGGCTCTACGGAACTCCAAAGTTTTTACTTGGAACCTTTTTATAATAATTTGCGAAACATTAACTGAA